TGACCTGCTGTGACAGCAGTCCCTCCAACCTGTCTCCACCTCCGCTGCAGTGATGGTATCTGGGCGTTCTCAAGTCCAATACACTGCGTATAGAACGTAATGACTCAAGGATACTTAGACTGCTGCATCAGAGGGAGTGAGATGCTCCAGGGACCGGTCTAAGAGCAAGCTGACTCCAAAGATTGGGTGAGTATAACTTTTTCATTTTTGACCCTAGGCAAAAATAAGCACTTAACCCTTGCAGTGCGGGGGTAGCCCCCAAAGCAAGGCTTAAGAACATTTGTACCCAAAGTTCTGCTTTAAAGTGACATTAAACCCTCAGATTTTTTAACATAAACCAATACTGTAATGTGCGCCTTACTGTATTCCATGGTTTTTTCCCTTCTCTTTGCTGCTCTTCCTTTTAAATCCTCATGTCTTCTCATGCTTGGGAAGAACTTCCCTTTTCAGCTCAGGGCCTCTTCCTGTAGTGCTGGCTCAGGTTTCAAGCCTATACAAACGTATACACAGACAACGTATATCCATTCCTTAGACAAGGCAGTCTGCTGCAAAACAGAAGTTCTGCCCAGCATGAGAACAGATACAGATTTAAAAGGAAGAGCAGCAAAGAGAAGGGAAACAACCATGGAATACAGTAAGGCACACATTACAGTATTGTTTTATGTGAAAAAATCTGAGGGTTTAATGTCACTTTAAGTTACTAGTAAAGGGTTACCAGAGCTGTTCATACTGGCCTCACTGGATGGCGCTGGCTTGGATGGTCGACCTGCTGCAGATTTACAGCCTTTTTCAAGAAAGACATTTTATGGAAACAGAGTTGCTTTAAAGTAAAATAAAGGTTGTTGATTCCTTCTCAACAGCAGATGCGTTGCTATATGACGTTTAGCTGTTCTCAAAGGAAACTGTGACAATCCTTTGGCAATGTCTTGGTGAGTGCGTCCGCAGTCATTTTTTCTGATGAGCAATATTGCATGTCGATAATGGCTTGCTCTTGAGTGTCAAGGTTTTATTTTCTTGGAGTGATTTTATTTTTCCTTCTGCTGCCATTCTCCACTGATTGGCTTTGTGTTTTGGAAATTTGTCATCCCATGATGTTAGTTCAAATATGCTATGTGTCTTGGCAGTATATGACAGCTTGCAGGGTGGTATTGCCTTTGTTGCTTGAGTAGATCTTCTAATTTCAGGTTGTTCAGCAGAATTTAACATGGAATTCGGCTTATCCATTGTGAGTTTCACCTCTTGTTCTGACTCCTGTGCGGCTTCACTTTGCTCAGCTTCTTTTAGCTGGTTCACTGAGCAAATTCATTTCACAACATCCCGGGATCATTGTTTCTGATGATGGATTCTCATCGATATAAACACTGCAACTCATTGTTACTTTGTCAGTCTTTGGGTGGAGGATTCTATATCCCTTACTTTGTTCACTGTAGCCCACCAGGATACCTTCAATGGCTGTGTTCTCCAACTTGGATTGCTTCTCATTTGGAATATAGGTGTAAGCCTTACATCCAATCACTCTGATGTGTCATAGGCTAGGCTTCGATCCATGCCACATTTCCAATGGCGTGTTATCAACAGGTTTTGGTGGTAGTCTGTTCTGTAGGTATGTTGCAGTCATGACTGCTTCTCCCCAGTACTTCTTAGGTTGGTTGGTGTCTGACAGCATGCATCTGGCCGCTTCTATAACCGTGTGATTTTTCCATTCCACTACACTATTTTGTTCAGGAGTGTATAGTGTGGTTGTCTGATGTACTATACCCTGTTTCATCAGATATGATTCCACTTCCTTACTAATGTATTCCCCTCCGTTAAGTCCTGGTTTCCACTGGAATTTGTTGCTGGACATGGCTACATACATATTTGACAGGTTCAGGGAACAGAGTAAGCGTTTCCACATCAGACTTGAAATCACAATACGTATGTAGCTTCGGGGGGTTAAACGGCGCTGTGAGTTGCATGGTGTCACTGATAAATGACTGTTAATTTCCAATGCTGATTGTTGGAAACCAGTGAACTAAAATCAAACATGGAGCTCTACATTTATCAAGGTACATGTGCTATATTGTTTGTTTAATGTTCATAGAGTAATTCTAGGTTGAACTTCCCCTTTAAATTTTTGAATAGAAACATGAAACAGTATGAGCTGATTTGCTGGCAATAGACAACACATCTTAAACATGGCCGACGTCCCGCCAACTGACAGCGAGCTCCCCATTGACAGCAGCTCACTGCTATTGACTATTCACATAGGCACCATCGTGGGGGTATCTTTGTCTATGCATATAATGAAACAGACAATTTGGTGAAATGTATCCAAACATCGGGCTCTCGAGCTGTCAAAACAAATAGCAGAGAGGCGAGGTGAGTCACTGCTGCCTCTCTGCTATTTTGAGCTGTCAAATACGGGATCGCAAATTGCGGTCCTCTATTTGCATGTAACGGCTTCATTCTTTCATTAATGAAAGGAAGAAGCTTTTACAAAAAGCTTAATTATTTCATTAATTAATGCCTCAATACTGAGACATTAATGAATGACTGTTAAATGCTGTGAATCAGCAGTTACCGGCATTACAAAGCCTGATATAACTCGTCACGTACACTGTATGTGGCCAGTCATATAGGCACAAAGTGACAAGACGTACACTGTACGTCTCCCGTCACGAAGGGGTTAACAAGTCAGCAGGTTGGCGTTGGTATAAAGTGAGATGTATCCAGCCGAGAGCAGATATAATAGTTGTTTATAGGTTGCTCGCACCAACTCACACAGAGCTCCTTGTTTCTATTCAGTGCACCATAATGAGACATACTGAATGTAAGGGTGGGTAATGAAGCGTCCCTCAAAAAGTCAGATTCAGAAATAGGAACAGTATGAAAGTGATATTGTAGGCGGGAAGACTTGAATAATAAGGACCTCCAGGTCTTAGGAGGGGGGTCTCTATACCAATGACACAAAAGAGTTCCCAGAAAACATTTTGTTTTGTTTTTTTTGCTGAACAAATGTAAACAGGAACATGCCAAACAATGGATGTTGTTGCCAATAAACATGCAGTTGTATTGTATGCCAAGAGTGCCATGGAATAACATAAGCTGTACATGTGTCCTCCTGTGTGTTTATGATACACTCCAATCAATGGGGTGCTATTTGTGAACTTGCGAATGTAGCATTGCCCTGTAGAGATAAATGAGTCAAGGATTTAAATTTGACTTGAGTTGGACCAGTTCAAGGCCAGCAGAGAGTTAGAACTATTGTCTGATCCTCTGTTGATTCAATACTGTTCAATCCACTGTATTTTTAACATAAAAAAAAACAAGAAAAAACATACAGCTCCTAAAAATACCAACCTGGCACATACCTAGCAGAGAAACTGGCTTCCTCTAGGCTGGAACATGGTTTTATTGATATATTTATTTATTTAATGATTAATTAAAAAGAAGGTTAGATTCTATTATTTTGTCTTTTAATCCTATTTGCCAATATGCAAAGTCTAACTCCTGGCCTTCATGTAAGAGGAGGGTTATTGTGGCTTACATACAGTACCTGCTTCCAGTATTAATTTATTTATTTATGAAAAAGAGGGTTGGGTCCTATTATTTTCTCTTTAATCTTAATTTATGCCAGTATGCATAATCTAACGCCTGGCCTTCAGGGTCTACATCCTTTGTATGCTGGCTTCTCCCGGCTGGAGCTTGGTTTTACCGAACCATATGCCCTTCCAATTAATTTTCTGAAAACTTGAGCCCCCAGGAGCTGGTGTTGGAAATGGGAGGGTTGTTATGGCTAACTTACCTTACCTGTGGGTCAGTCCTTTATATATTTATTTGTTTATTTATTTATTAAAAAGAAGTTTAGACTCTATTATTTTCTTTTTTAATCATAATTTTTGGCAATAAGCAAAAGCTAACACCTGGCCACCAGGGTCTGCATCATTTGTATGCCGGCTTCCTCTTAGCTAGAGCATTTGTATGCTCTTTCAAGGGTTTTTTTAAAAAACTTGAGCCCCCAGGAGCTGGAGCTGCTTGTTAGCCCCTTATGTGATAGCACTAAAGTTAAGTGTTAATAAAAGTTGAAGTGGAAAAGCCTTACAAAAATGGCCATACTCGCATATGCGAATGTAAATATATGCGCCTGGGGTACCTACGCATGAACACAATGATTGAGCCCCATGTGTTGGCCATCCACGTGCATGCCAGAGTAACAATAATTCTAGGACTATTATTTATGCCTAACTCCTAACTGATGACCTGTAGAGGCTTTTAAACCGTCGTCTATGTTCAAATTTGTGTACCAAAGATTTTCATGGGGCGCACGTAATTATGAGGCTTGACATGTTTGGTATCTATTTACTCAACACAACCTCATTTTTAATGTTTTACCGAAAAATGGGTATTATATTGTGTTTGTGTGAACTAAAATTAATTTGAATGCATGAAAAGTTGGGCTAATATCATGCGACATTAAAAACAAATTTCAACAACCATTTTCTGCTTTCAGAAAATATAACATTTTAAGCAATTTTTGGGCCTAAAATATTAATTCGAACATGTGTGCACAATGGCAGCGACGGGGTTAAAGGAATACAAGCCGGATTTCCGCTATGAGCTTTTCTGAATATTGATACCCTTGTTTTATATTGGGGCGTGCCAGGAATTTTCACACGCAGCCCTGTAAAGTTATCGAAAGCTCCACTTTAACAATTGATACATTGCAAGGTTTTGCCACAATTTATTGCTCGGGTACTCTGTCATATATAGCGGAAGTTCCAGTTAATAAATGACTTTTGATGTTTAACAAATGTGAGGACTTTCATTCTGCCTTTTCCCATTTGTACGATCCTTGATATTTTCTTCACGTAGAACGCGGAGCTTTATATGATCATATACCTATGTCATTTCCAATTAGCCATCCCTCCTGAGATCCTGCTCCAGTCCTTCGTATATCTCCGCTCATAGATCATGTCCTTCCCGCGAGCCCATATCTTTTATCTTTTTTTGTCTTGCAGGTCACAAGAGCTGAAAAATGCCGATGGACAAAAATGTGTCCACGCTCTCCAACTTCTCCTTCGCCTCCTCGCTAATGAGAGAGGATGGGAATAAGAGCTTAGAAATTGCACCCCAGCAGGTGGCGGTTGGGTTGTTACTAACTGTGATCGATTTGGTCACCTTCCTGGGAAATACGGTGGTTTTTATCTGCCCCGCTGTGGAGAAGAGGCTGAGAACTGTAACATATATGTTCATTATGTCGCTTGCCATGGCTGATCTCCTGGTGGCTTGCCTGGTCATGCCTTTTAGGTAAGAATGTCTTTTTTTGTTCTGATTTGTGTAATAAAAAAGAGACTTTCGCAGATTTTTAGCTTTTTTTTTAGAAAGCACATAAAGACATTTAAAATGTATTAAAAAAATAATTTTTGCAATTCTTTTTGAAAAGTTGATGGTCAACTTGTATATTTACAGTATATAGAATAATTTATATTTCCCCTGCAGTCAGCAACTGGCCAGCTGTAGGCAAGATAAGCAGGGGTCTGGAGGCTCCTAAAGAACAACAAAGAAGGCAATCTCCAATATTAAGATTTGCTTTTGTCTTGGTGTTTTTATGGTTGGTGGTCACATGTTGTTGTCACTCCACTCTACCCAACAAGCCTGCAAGCTGATTGAACTAATAGCAGGAGGGAGTTGAACTTGGGGACAAGAGAGTGACATAACCCAAGGGAACACATTCACTGCGAGTGAGTTCCCTTGGGTTATGTCACTCTCTAGTCCCCAAGCTCAACTCCCTCCTGTTATTATTTGAATAAGCTTGCAGGCGTGTTGCTAGAGAGGAGTGACAACAACACCACTACATTGTAAAAAAAAAAAAAAGGGGGGGGCAATGTTACTCCTAAAAAAGAAGTTCATAGAAAGAATGAAAAGCTTTTTGTTTTTTAATAGCAAAAGGAAAACTAGAAATCAAACAGCCATGAAGGCGGATAGGTACATGTGTTGCAACAAACTTAATGATAGTTTTTGGGTTTACATACACTTTAATAGTTGTAACACCAAAGCATACTTGGATAGCATGAGATCAGATTTTACAAACTGCTGAATGACTTGGAGATGGGACACACCCCTCATTCTGAATGATTCAGAGGATGGACAAACCCCTCATCCCAAATAACTAAGAGGAGGGACATACCCCTCCAGAATGACGTAGGAGGGGCACACCTTTTCCTTCCAAACAAATTAGAGAAAGGGCACACCACTCCCACTCAACTGACTTGGAGGAGGGAAACACCCTTTCCTCTCGATTGACTTAGAAGAGGGACACATCACTCATCCCAGATGACTTGGAGAAGGGGTATAGTCCTCCCTCCCAAAAGACTTGAAGGACTGGCATACCTATTTTCCAAAATGACTTGAAGGATGGGCATTCCATTCCCTCCTGACTGATTCAAAGGAGGAACACACCCTGCCCTTCTCAATTACTTAAGGAGGAACCTTTTCCTCTTAAATGATTTAGAGGAGGGACACAACCCTTCTTCTTCAATTACTTGTAAAAGGGGGGCACCTTTTCCTCACGAAGGAAGCAGTGTAAGTACGTGAATGTAACTTGGTATTAGATTCCTGCGGTCCTAATTCAGCAGAGCTCAAACTGCCAGAGGGAGAAGCATCACAAGGAGTCAATTGTGTTGCAGTGCCAAAAGCATGTGGATAAGAGGAAAGATTAGAATGACAAACAAATTAGCTCACCCGTATGCTACTTCTCCTTTTACTGTCTAGTTACAGGGTGAGGGTAGGGAGAAAACCTGTGTTATTAAACTGCAAAACAGGCGGTCTCCTGCTTAGGCAAAGAGGGCTGTGTTGTGTGACAGTGCTGTAGAAATCTCATTACTGGATGGACAGACCATACTAATCCTTTGACAGGTAAAACAGCCCTCTTATATGGGTGTCATCTGTGTATTTAGTTGTTTGCCTGGAGTCCAGCTTTCAGTCAAGCACAAGTAAAGTTTGTAGGTTATATTGAATGTGTATTTGAAAGATAAGGAAGCAAAACAAATAATTGTGAAATTATATATATTTTTTTTTAAATGGAAAACATAAACAAATAAAGTTGACCAAAATAATGCTTTACAAGAATATTTGCATATTTAGTACATTTACTATAGCTGAGTTTATTAAGGACAGCGGACAGTTTGGTTCCAAGCATGCAATATGACTTACTAAAATGCGTTTTTATGAGCTACATCACAAGCACATTTATATGCATTTTATATACATTTATAGCCCTTTCCTATTGGGTTCTATTAAGTCTTTTCACAGGTTCCCCATGTGAGGCCACGACTGCAGGTAAACTGTAGGATACTGACAGAAGGGAGGTTTAGATATTCCTTTAAAATATTTGAATCATAGAAGTACAAAACATGCTTTTAAAATGTTAAAATGGCAAGCTTTATTGCACCACAATACATGTACAAGAACATAGGGGCTGATTTAAAACCATGTACACAAGGCAGATGCCGTTTACTCGGCACTACAGCCACTAGATAGCACTGAGCAGCATTAAAAGTGCTCCTCAGCACCATTTAATGGCCACTGTGCCAATGCAAATGGAATCTGCCAAAGCATATAGGGTTATAAATCAACCCCTTAAAGTGCATTTAAAGTGACCTTGTCAGCAGAGGTCACTTGAATGTAAAAAATACCTGCAAAATGAATACTGCAAATACTTACCTTACTACAGCCACTAGATGGCTCTGAAAAGCATAGCAAACCCTGTGCTCCTCAGCGCCCTCTAGTAGCAGTAGTGGCCTGCAATTGCAAATGGCATATATCAATCGTATAGGGTTATAGACCACCTTTTAGTGGACTTATAGTGGCCCTGAATGTAATACATACAAACATACTTGCAAAGCGAAAACTGCATATACTTACCTTTCTGGTGGCACGTTTCGTTAAAAGTTGCCGTTTCACTGCCCACTGTCTTCTGCAAGTATTCAACAGGTCAGATGGGTTGAATATCTGTTCCTCCACCACTCTCTCTATGGTCGGGCTAAGACGTCCTGCAGTAATCTACTTCTAGAGGGTCATGCTGCCATTTTTAACAAGCAGAAATTACACTCCTCCAGTGTTATTGATTGGTTGACAACAGTCATGTGACCTCCCCAGCCATGGCTGCAGGAGCTACAGTTGGAGTGTTGGTGAGTAGATGGAAACTTTGAGCAGGTTAGGTAGGGTGTTAACAAAAGATGTTTCGAAAAAGATTTACATCCCCTAAAGATGAATTCCAGGTAAATAGGCAAATACACATCTTAAATAATATGACCTGTTTTACCTGAGAAAATAGTTTAATTCTGTTTAGCCAGTTTTATGATCCATGCACCTCTGTCAAACACCACAGGCGGTCCCTTGACCTCTCTGCAGACTACAGTGCAGTTAACTAATACAGTGTGGTCCAGGACCCTGCTCAGCCTGTGACCCTCCTTGTTCGGGCAATTACAGAAGGATGCACTTAATGACTTATTCATAAGGGCATATTAAATTTAAATGGTGTATTATACCTACTTGGAACTCAGATTTAAAGTAAAGCTCTGTGGATAGAAAGATGGGATCTTCATTGGCTTGCTTGTGTTTAAAAGGTACAAGCTCCAGGGCTGCCATCCTGATCCTAACTTCTCTACTCATCAAGTCAGTGATCTGAAACAAACATGCAGCCAGTGAAATGTCTCAACTTCTATTGAGCATGCTTTTTCAAGGTCAGTTACTTACTTGGTACATGAAGCCAGGATATGGATGACCACCCTGGGGCTAATGTCTGTTAAGAAAAAGTCAGCAACGGCAACTCTCATATTTACTGTATATTGATATACGTTACGCTTCATTTATATTGCCATTAGTTCAATGTATTTATATTGTCATAGGCTCCCTTTATATTCCCATAGGTTCCCTTTATAGTGCCATTAGTTCTCTTTATTTATATTCTCATAGGCTTCCTTTATAATCCCATAGGTTCTCTTTATTTATATAGCCACAGAGTCCCCTTGTAATGCCATGGGGTTTCTTTATTTATATTGTCATGGGCTCCCTTCATATTGCCATAAGTTTTCTTTATTTATATTGTTATAGGCTCTCTCTATATTTATTTATTACAAGTATATACACTGAGTGGCCATATTATTATGACCACCCCATCAGTACTGCGTTGGGCCGCCTCGTGACTCCAGGAGATGTTGAAAGGTGATGCGAGGAATCTGACACGGCACTGTTGCCCTTCTGTTGTCTTGTACCAGTCTTGCCACTCTCCGTTCTGCCCTAACATTGACTAGTCGCTGACGGCCACAATTCGCGCGTTCAGACCCAGATTTTAGGCTGACAGTCCAGTGTTTAAACACTTTAACAACAGCTGCTCTTGAACATTTAACAAATTCTGCTGTTTTGCTGATACTCGCTCCATGGCTCCGAGCGCCAACAATCATCCCACGTTCAAAGGCTGTTAAATCGCGTTGTTTACCCGTATCTTCAGAAACAAATCACTTCTACTGTTGTGGTAAACAACCTGCTTCCCTATTTATAATGGTCTGGCCCTCTAGCAACTTCAGTGCGAAATTATAGCTAATTTGCCTACAAACGTCAGGTGGTCATAATAATCTGGCCACTCAGTGTATAGGGTGCTGATGATTTACACAGTGTTTACACAGTGCACATTCACATCAGTCCCTGCCCTCAAGGAACTTAAAGTCTAATGTCCCTATCTCACGGGGATAAATACAAGGGCCAATATAGACTAATTACCCAACCAGCATGTCTTTGGAGTGTGGGAGGAAACCAGAGTACCCGGAGGAAACCCACACAAGAACAGGAAGAACATTCGGACTCCTAGCAGATAGTGATCTAGCCAGGATTTGAGCCCCCAGTGCTGCAAGGCAAAACCACTACGCCACTGTGCTGCCTATTTTATGTTGTTATCGGCTCCCTTTTTATTTATTCATAGGCTCCCTTTATGTACAGTATAAGATTCCCTTAACTTATATTGTCATAACTTCCCTTTAATTATGTTGTTATGGGGCCCCTTTATATTGCCATAGGTTCTCTTTATTTATATAGTCATAGTCTCCCTTTAAACTACGCGGACAGAGCATGCAGTTCCAAGCACAGAAGTGTGACCAGGGCCTCCAATGTTATTACTCTGACCGCACAGAACCAGTAACTGTACAAGTCATTTTAGAAGTGTTATAACAGTGCAGTCAGTTGTGTAAGAAGAACACAGAAATACCCACTGTTGTTATTATGAAAGCATTCCTCCATACACCCAGAGATTA